AGTTCTTGAGAGAAATTAAAGTTCAAAATATTCGAAACATATAAATTTGTGACGAAAACTTAATAATTTCTTTTGCTCTAGATCCCTATATGAACATAAATAAATATGAAGCTCCGTTGTCGATCTTTTACAAACCTTACCAAAACATCAGTATTATGTACACATGGAGATTTGTTAAGAAACGTTTTCACATGATTTATGGTTATGACATGTACTGTTGCAACGAAGGCCGCCTTTAAGACAAGAGCACTGCTTTGTTAGGCAGCTACTTCCACAGTGGCACTTTCTAAACCTCGACAGATACTCCGAGTGGGAACAATTATTCAGCTTTTTGTGCCTATCTTATAAGCACTTTCTTCCTTAGAAAACACATCTGGTAAGGTGCCATGTTGATGGTGTCATGGAAGGTGCTATTCATGGCACACTGCCCAAACTGAAGACCATAACTCCACCGGAAGCATTTATTATCGCACCATCATCCAGTCCTCAGCTTTGGCCGTCCGGTGCACCTCTCACTACACCGAGGTTTCTGGCATTACCGGCTATAGTTGGGTAACCGCTCATTCGCTTATTTGGGACGAGCTGTATGCACTGCTCTGGGCCCCCGGTGCTGCATTATTTCATTTAGTTTCGATACTGACTCGTTCAGAAGGAGACGCGTTTACAGGGGCTCGTCAGGTTTTGTGCAGTGTGGCAGAGCTGTGTTTGTTTACATTAGCCAGAAGGAAACTCGCAATTGTAAACATGCTATGGAATCGAAGTAAAACAATATTAAAACATATATCCCAATATACTCTTATGATTTGTGCAATATTTATATGTTTAATAAGAAACGCACTGATTAGATTGTTATTAGCTCGTATATTTTGCCTAATGGACGGTGGTAAGCGAGGTGAAGTGACGTAAGGGTTTGGGAAGGGGGGCAGCAGAGAAGGAAGTTGTTACCTACTAGTACCAAGCAACAAACACATAGTGTAAACAAGAAGAGGGTTAAAATTAATTGCAGTGATTTTTTTATTCACATGAGTTTGCTGCTTGCTACTAGTAGGTAAGAACTTCCTTCTCTGCTTCCCAAACCCTTACGTCACTTCACCTCGCTTACCACCGTCCATTAGGCAAAATATACGCGCTAATAACAATCTAATCAGTGCGTTTCTTATTAAACATGTGTACCGGACTCTCTCGTCCTGTGATCTTGTTCGTGATCATGTCTGTCACAGTCAGCTGAAACCTTTAATAAAACAATAAATTGATGGATTGTTGCAGCTCTGTAGGCAATGTTTGTTCAGTTGTTAATTACCAATACCAACTTACGTGATTGTATAATTCCTTGATAGACACACTTGGAGGTGAGACCGCATGAGGTACTCAGCTGGACAAGGAGCAACTGATCAGTGTTCAGTGTGGATTCTAAGGGAAGTGTTTACCTTACCTGATGTCCCCGCAGTATAGTGATGGCCATGGCTGTCAACAAACCTTCATCACTACCAGCTCGGCACCGAAGACAATATCACCAACCCTTTATTATTTACAATGTTTATTGACTCAAATTGGCAACAGAGGATTTACCTTTGTAAGTCATGTGGTATTTTCATGTTATCCAGATAATTAAATACTACATCCGTTTTCATGAACTGTATTGTCTTATTAACTTATTATAGACGAATCACCTAAGGATTGGCCCCCTCAGCTTAGCTCGTCAGAAGATTAACCACCCTAGCGCTACCTGAGGGGTTAGGTTTCGTTAGCGTTAGGTTAGGTTAAGTTAACATGGTTAATCGTTAGATGAAATAAGGTAAAGGAAGCTTCAGGTGACCCCTACTGTATATACCTAAGACGTAGAGATAGCAATAAAACACAATTATTATTATAAACATTTTAATGTCAAACAATATAGTACACACCTTGTACACTAGAATAATAGGCGAGTTAATGAAACAAAGTGAACGATTCTCTCCCCTCGCGACTCCTGCAGTAATACTATCTAGGCTGTGACTCTGTTGTATGCTAACTTACAGGAGCATCCGGGGACAGGACCGCTCACTGTGCGTCACAAAGAGTACTGACACAATGACTAGTCCACGTAAGTATGTCTTGCTAACAGATGGAACAACACATAAAATTCATATAAATAAGACTCGAATGGAGAACTGATTACATTCCAGAGGAATAAGAAGCAAATCAATCTATAGGTTCTGAATATAAAAAGTAAATAATTTCCATTATAGCATTTAAAATGATGGAACTGAATTAAGAAAAATTTCCCAGTCAATTTTCTGCAGAAATTTCAAATAATAATAATAATAATAATAATAATACGTTGGTTTTAAGGATGAGAAAGAGAGGCCTATCACTTCTAGTGGTTCTAAGGATGTGGGCCTAGAAATATCTCAATACACATACATTTATTTTATAAGTTTTTTTAGAGTATTTACAATTTACGTACAAAACTTTACACACATCATCAATATTATGTACAATTTTTGAAAGGGGTGGGTGAGGGGAGGGAGGGGGATAAACGTTTACTTAAATGTCCAGTCAAGAATGGCTGTAGTTGGCAAAAGCAGCAGTGTCTGGTTCATACAACACACAACAGATGTCACTTGATATGGTACAAACCAACGGTGAGTTTAAGGCAAGTGGACAATTATGTGACGCCGATAACACGTGTTAGCCCCAAAAAGAGGGAGGTGGGGGAGAGGTGGTTAGCTAAAATCCTGATTGGTCCGTTGTTACCCAGTTCCTAGCGACGTATCATCAGTATTATACAATGTTCAGCCGTTGTACCATAAGATGCTTAAGCCTAAAAAATATCAGAATAGAAGATTCCTTGTTACCTGGTCTCCGGAAATCAGGATTCTAGTTCACTGGAGGTACACAGTCCGGAGCCAGGTTAACCCCGTACTAGAAAGACTAAAATATAGGTGTAACTGGGTCTAGGGGCCGGGCACCTCAGTCCTCCCCTACTGGTGGTGGTGTATCACCTTGCAAATCGGAAAAAAAAACGACCAGAGAAAAGTAAACGGGAGCTAAAATTAATAGCACCATCGTGGTATATTTGAAATCTTAAACTAAGATTAACACGCTAACACGGATTGTTTTCAACTTCCAAAACTGAAAAAAAAATCTAAAATTATTAAAGCGAGTGTTTAATGGACATTTTTTTTTATCGCTTCACCAGGGTACAGGATCATCCAAAAAATAAATAATAATATTTCAATACAAACTTAATTATTCTTTATCGAAAGTATTAACGCATTTTCCTGAAGCCAGACAGCTGAAAGGATATCTTCGTTTCAATAAATCTTATCAATTAGGAGAAAAAATAATATCATAAGCTGGCAACATATACTAGGAGAAGCTCTTTGATTGTCTTTCTTCACGAACTAATCATACAAAGAAGACGTGAAGGACTAGAGAAATACGAGAGAGACAATACACAACGGAGCTTTGAAGTTCAGGATGTACGGGCGAGACAGAATCCATGAAGGGGGGAGGGGGTGAGATAATGCTCACCAATGAAGCAAAAATACAAGATTTACTGGGAAGACACTTCATGTCATGTTCATGGAGACTATAGTGGCCGTTTTATCCTTATTAAGAGGTCATATTATTTTACCTGATAGGAACTAAAAGGTTGACACACGCACACACACACACACACACACACACACACACACACACGGTGGAGAGTGAGAAAAGTTAGTGAGTGCGCCTCGTGATGCAACAATATACTGGCAGCACCACACCCAAAATCTTCCTTTACAAAGGTCATCATCATCTATTTTTTTTATACCAACAAAAGGTTTGGCTTAAGAGAGTTAACCGTCGCTTCCACTCATATCTTGTTAGTGCCAAGATTATGAGGTATCGACAGAGAAAGATGTTTCCATATAGACATTGACATGGTTTGAACAGTGGTATTTTTGGCGTGATATTTGTGTTATTCGTACCCGCGAACTTAAGAATCTTCAGTTCATACTTTAAAGTCACAAGAGTCATGATAATCTGGATTTTATCGTCTGACGTATCTGTTAAGATGTTTAAGATAAACATTCGAAATGGGTCTTTCATGGATATTGTACTTTAGTAAAGAGTGAGAATACAAAATACAAACTAGTCCACAGATAAAGACTTTACCCATGACCTCCGCAGTCCCTCCCCGTCGTAGGTGGGAGATAGGTTGAGAAGGTGTCCCATCTTCTTTGTCTCTGGGGTGATTGATAATATAGAAAATGAGATCTGATTGAACGAACGCACAAATTTCTTAGTGGTTTTCGTCATGGTATTTGTGACCAGCGGGGAAGAAGTGTAATAATCAGAAGAAGAAAAAAATTATATATAACAGTCACGTACGGAGATTGTGAGTATATTAGCACATATTCTTTCTAGTTTACCTGATATGAGTAAACAAAAATAAAAGAATTAGTATTTGTTTACGCTGATGGGTGGCGGGTGATCCTGACACAAGTTATCTCATTAAAGCACAAGTTGGGCGCCTGACTTTGTTTTTCCTCTTTACCTTCTCCTTGTATGTGTTCATAATGTACCAAACTCTAAAACAATAATAAGAAAGTGAACATCTATACCCTATAGATTTTACTGTTTAAAATGCAAAGAGTAAAATAGTATGCAAGTGAAAAAATAATAATAATGGCAGACGGGACGGACTACTACGAGACAAAAAACGGAAAAAAAAACCATTGTTACGGAAGCATCATAAAGTTACTTGACGCAAAGTGAAAAAGAACAAAAAATGTTTATTGATTTACTCAGAAGTTCACTAAAGAGGGGAAAGATATTACATAAGATAGATCATAGAGACTTAGGCAGCAAAACAACACCAAATAAGAAAAGCCTCTCTAATGGGTGACTTTGGTTGTCGCCGACAGGTTGAGGTTTACTGGTAGCGTCTGGTAGTGAATTCCTGGTCGAATCTGGTCTACTGGAGTGGTTTAGACTGGCAGAGTTAAGCTTAAGGAAACAAATCACAGCGAAGTCGTGTCTTTGGTAGACGGGAGGTTAAATATTATCAGGTGACAAAGAAAATAAATGTGAGAGTTGAAGGTTGAAAGAGGCGGAACAGTAGAGAGACGCGTGGCTTAATTTGGTTGGTTGATGAGGCTTATTATTCCCACTTCGCTAATTCCAGCAGTAGATGCAGCCGAGTTAATGCTTCCCTCCATACAAGCTCACATAAAAAGAAAGCTTCATTAAATTTCTTCCACGCTCACAAAAAAGAGGAAATATTCCACAAAAGTCCATATAACAACATTCCTCTCACACAGTCTGCACATCTCAGTCGTTCCTTTATCCGATCATTGTCCAGATATCTCCGGATCACACAGAGACGGCGGCAGTAGAGCTCATCCGGTGCACCTTTCCAACACTGGGAATTAACAAGGAGGGAGCACGGAGGGGCACGGCTGTACACAGGTGACATACACCTCACCTGAAAAATAAACACATATATTCATTGTTATAGGACTTATGGAAAAATGAAGCTTACATTGGGCATGGAAAATAAAATGGTATTTGTTGCAAAAGTTTTGTGTTTTTTTTTTATCTTTGGCATCCCAAAACTGTGGTCATGTTCTGGGAGAGGTTTTAACTCTACACGGGAGACTCGGTATATGATAAAATATTTCTATGGTTCTGACTCACACCTCTAACATCACTTTAAAATGTATACAATAATATTACTTCAGACAGATTTAATTGCTTGTGATAATCAGAACATTCTAATGAAAATTTGCTTCTACCCACGTGAAATATCTCTTAATAAAGCTATTAATGAACGTTCAGGTAAACAAAATGTAAAGTACAATAATGGGTGAGACTCTCTCTCTCTCTCTCTCTCTTTTACCTCCTTCATTGTAGCCAGAAGTAATGGAGAAGAGGAAGTAGCGAGATGAACGTTAAGCTGGACACCATGACGATCACTCCTCCAGACACTGCACGTAGGGGGAGAGAAAACAGTCACAGTTAAGACACGTTAAACTACAGCACGACTCTGACGTTCATTGTTTACATCATTGAGTGAGAAGTTTGTTTAATGCTGGACCACCACAAAGTTATGCTTAAAGTACATTGGATTAGAACCATATGGGAAACTTTTAAAATTAAAGCTTTAGGTAAGATTCGGCTACAGCAAGTGGCAAATATCCTGAAATTTGTTGAAATCAATGAAGGATCAGTTACGAACAATGCAATGAATTAATGAAATGGGATTAAAATGCTTGAAAAACACATAACTAGTAACCCCTTCAGCTTTACACGGGTGGATATCAAATTCGTGGGTGGAGATGCGTCACCTTGATGGCCATAAAACAACAACTCATTATCACAAAATATAATGAAAACTGTGACTAAATTATGATTAAAAATACATCTATGATAAAAGGTAAACCAACACAGGTGAAAGTAAGAAGAGAACTCATGCAACATACGATAAAGTAAGAGGTGAAGCCTTAAGATTTAACTCCCAGATAAACACATCTTGACAAACTGCCGGCAAGAAAACTGCCAATTTCAGGGCCTTCAATGTAGCCACTTCACACACTTGAGAAAACGTCAGAGTGAATTGAAAGTCTTGGGAGTGGTTCTGATCCTCGTGCCGGGAGCTTTGTCAAGAAGTGTTTGGTCGTCTGGGATGATAAAGTTCTCCTTCATATCTCAGATCCCAAACCCTTACCTGAGGATTCTACAGCTGGTACACCTGTGGAACAAAAGATGACATGCCATTAGTGAAATCCAGAAATAACACGGATGAGGTTGTTTAAGCCGTGAAGGAATAATGAAAAAAAAAATCATTCCACTTCGCCACACAAGTTGCTACATAAATCTACATAAATGCAAGATCATGGCTCGTACACTCTCTCGGGGAGTTAATTTGCGTCACAAAGTTATGTTTTGCGACAAGGTCACATTTTAACGTCAAGTCATCATGGGTCATTGCCGAGTCTATTACAACAATGAACCAATTCTTAAAAAAAGCTACAATAGCAATATAATTGCGTTTAACAACAATTCCAATGCCAAAACAAGGAAGAAGGGGGAAATTATAAAAGAAAAAACAGTTTTAAGCATTCCATTAAGATGAAACCAGGAAACGCCAGCAAACTGGCTCTAAATATTCAACCAGGAAAAGTCATCACAGGAATCAAACAACAACTGCTTCACGTTTTCTACAAGTTGTATGTTGAGGAGTTATTGTTAGTTGGGGAACCTAGAAGCGTACACATATCTTCTACAGAGATTCCAAAGTTAATGCATGCAAAAAAAAAAGTCCACGAGGTAAGGTTAGTATTACAGAAAAACCACCACATCATTCAAGGCTCCCATTTATATATATTTTTTTTCGTGTGTCAGGGCCGTTTTCTATGACATACGTTCCTGGGGTTGCCTCCTTACCACTCTCTGCAACGTGAGGTTTAGCGCCCTTAGTCTCTTCCTCAATTTCAAAGTCATCATTATCATTATCGTCTACCTCTAATCCTTCTTCTTCCTCATCGTAATCCTCCTCCACCTCATCCTCAAGCTCTTCAGGAGCAGAGGTGGTGGTGGGAGTTGGGGTGGTGGTTGTGGTGGTAGTAGTGGTAGTGGTAGGGGGGCCTGAAATATACCAGTTCATACCATCTGCAGTTCACTACTCTACAGCTAAAAAAATACAACAACATTCCTTACTTAAGACCATTACACCTCTGTTAGATTGTTTATACTTGCTTGCTCAGTGGAGAATATAGACAACTACTGAATCAATGTACAATATTAGCAAATAAATACTTCATGAAAGACTATTCATTCCGACACAAAAACAAAAGAGAAGCGGTTCATATACAAAACAAAAAATAATCGATGCACAACAAGTATTAATTATAAATCAATAAGATACATTGAAAAAAAGGTAGTACTAAGAGACACTGAGGAACTCGAGATAATACAAGGAAGAGGAAGATAAGACGGACATAAACCAAGAGAAAACTAAGACATAGGAGAGTGTGCACATGAAGCAGCAAGTGAAGCAGAACATAAACAAAGTCATCGGAAGAGAATGATCAGACTTAATATAAATATACATTAAATCATGGGGGTATTCTTTTTCAATAACCTTGTATGTCATCAGTGAAGAAGTAACTGGTCACTACGGTCAGGACAAAATATTAATCTACTATGAGCCGGACACCTTCAAAAATCGGTCACAGAAGCACCTAAGAACACGATGGAAGTATTAACAAGGAACATTCATTTTACCAATACGTTGTGGTCCAGGCTACGAGGAAGACCATAGGAAGTTAATCCGCCCAAAACCTCAGCCTGAACAACCATCACGCCCGGGGGAATCACCAAAAGGCACGGGAGGTAGAACTCACCAGGAGGACTATAAGAGCATTATCCGGATTACAAACGCACGAAATCCTATTGTGAACGATGAAAAGCGATTATAGGTTATTATTCCAACAGTAGGCCTGGGAGTGTGGCTTTTGTGGGCTGAAGGCCAGGTGGGGAACCCGCATGGTTAAGGAGGGGGGGGTGAGAGGGTGGGAGAAAAGGAAAAGGGAAGGGGAGGGAGGAAGGGAAGGGAGGGAAGGGATGGGAAGGAAGGGAAGGGAAGGGGAAGGGGAAGGATGGGAAGGGAAGGGAAGGGAGGGAGGGATGGGAAGGGGAGGGAAGGGGAGGAAGGATGGGAAGGGAGGAGGATGGGTGTACCCGTGAAATCAGTTGGTGATATCCTCGGTGGCGGCCGCTCGTTAAGGTAATCATAGGACCACGGTGAATTTTGTTTCTTTCACAGTTAAAGGACCATACCTGAGCAGCATGGGTAGTAGTGTGGTGTGGGCAGGTGTGTGTCTGGAAGCTGGGAACTGAAATGTGTTTGTATCTGTACTTGTATCGCGTCTTTGGAATTTCAAATTTGTTTTTACTTCGTCCTGTGTGATATTGTTGCAGTACTTAACGGAACAAACGGCCAAACCCAGAATGCATTTATCAGAAATTCAATCATTCGACACAAATGCTATTTTCTACTGCGAGCTCGAGTTTTGTAAATATTTATACATCTAGCAATAAAAGCTACCTTTTACCGACGTTACAAAATATAGGTAAAATAACTAAAACTGAAAAAACCTGCACTCGATAACTTTCGTTTTCACATTTCTACATAAAGATTATACCAACAAAACACTATAAATATAATATATTAAATAACAGTGATTATAATAATAATAATAATAATAATAATAATAATAATAAACCATTTTTCCGGAACTTGACCTCACTTAACTACACCTTCCCTGAAGTTCACATCCCCTGCGTCGGATACAAGATCATTCGCTTACAATAATCCTGCCTCATTCCCTGATAAGTTATTGGTCACCAAAGCACACATGCCCGGCCTAGCCTCTGTCTTTGTATAGGCCACGAGACTATGTACCTAATTATCTACCTTATCTAATACATCTACCCTCTCTTCCTGTGTAAGCTACTACACACACACACACACACACACACACACACACACACACACACACACACACATATCCACACCCACACTATCACTCTCTCTCTTACATGGATGGGCCATAAAACTTCCTGCTGATGATATCGATAAAACGACAACAACCATCATGTGAGGAGAATATTATATGTCTTTAAATACAGCAATAAGCGCATACACCTCACACCTGGCACAGTTACTATACTATACTATACTATACTATACTATACTATACTATACTATACTATATCGTCAACCAATCGTCATTCCCGAGTGATGGAACTCAACCATGATATAAGAGGATCAGGTGTAAGGTATCCTGGTAGTCATCAGTGGTGAAGATATGAAGGTGGTTCGTTCACTGGCACATAATCGTCAGCTGTTTCGTACAGTCAGGTAATTTATGCATCTATCTCTGTCTATAGAATGTTTAAATGTCTTTTAATACAATAAAAACTATAACTGCACACCATAAGTTATGTACGTAGCGGTTATTGCTCCTATATTCCCCTCCTGTACAGGACATGGAAAAAGCATTAACATATCAGTCAGGGTTTTAGTCGAGTTTTTGTAATCAAGAAAGAAAGTTTATTTTCTATTTAAATGAGACCTTGACCTTTAACCTTTGTTTACCTTAATCATTTTAATCCTTTGGGAGGATGGTTAGACCCTTCAGTCCTCATAGGGTTAACGCTCTTTCTACCACAAACAATGGACCCATTTATTGTGGCGGCAACTGAATTAATTCCCACTGGAGTTGTCGCCTTTTAGCTGAAACTGAACGGTAGCGGCGCAGACCCTGAACGGACTACGGACGGATACGATGCGGACGCTGTTGTTCTTACAAACCGATTACAATGCCTTTGTCCTTCCTTGCATGGTCAATATTAAACAAATATACATATATAAACTACATAAGCCAAGTCCCAGCCCAACACGAACCTCTCAAACACCCGAGGGCTAACTCTCCTACAGGAACTACCAAGGGAGTACTCAAGCCAACACACTCAGGAGGGAACATCACACTCCAGAGGCAAATATATACAGAGCTTTCATCCTCTTTTTATTTCTCCCAAATATTATAGAAAATGGGTGGAAAAGCTTCCTCCCTTATTCAGTGTGAAGCAGCCTGGCCCAGGATCACCGGATCATCCATTCTATTTATCCATGATGAAAATTTCAATCTCCTTCAATGGTTGTGGATGGAAAAATCTTGTTTTCTCTAGGATGAGACATGGAGAGGGGGCTAAGAAAGAAGAAGTGAAATGGGTGAATGACATTTAAGGATAAAGGGTACAGGGAAAGACTCACTAGGATACCGATGTGTGGTAGCATTGGGTGGTTGTGGCAGACGTGTGATGGTGATAGCCTGGCAGTGATGGTAATAGCCATAGTCATGGAGGTGTTTATAGCGGCCATAAACACGCTCACTAAAAGATAGGTACCTATAATGTAACACAACAGCCTCGATGCGCATTGTAGTACCCTAGATCAAGGCACTGTAGTGATTGAGGTTAAAGAAACTAAACTTGCATTCCCTAGAAAGACGAAGAGTGCGGGGAGATATGATAGAAGTATTTAAGTGGGTGAAAGGAATCAATAAAGGGGATATAGATAAAGTTCGTATAATATCCGAGCAGGATAGGACTCGGAGCAACGGATTTAAGTTGGAAAAGTTTAGGTTTAGGAGGGAGATAGGAAGGAACTGGTTCACAAATAGGGTGGTGGACGAGTGGAACAAGCTTAGCAACTTTGTAGTAAGTACTGGAACGCTGGAAAGTTTCAAAAAGAGGCTGGATAGATTCATGGATGATAGAGAGTGGTAGTAACTCTCGACAGGAGCTGCCATGTACAGGCCAACCGGCCTATTGCAGACTCCCTATTTTCTTATGTTCTTCTTATGTTCTTAAGTATGTGGGTAATAAGTGTATTTTGCAGTCATCTATTATGTCATCACTTATATTGTTCAGTATATTACTACTACACTACTACTACTACTACTACTATACGTTTACTACTACCACTACTATTACTACTACTACTTTTTTTTAATGGCCTCCAGCCTCCCCCAATAGCCATACCTTCGCCACCATTTTATTACCTTAATATTAAATATTAAATATCTACGACAACTACTACAACTACTTTAATGTTACTAATACTACTACTATTAATAATAATACCTCACATGGGACATTCAATAGGTCTCTCTTTCAGTATAAAATTTCTTTGCTTTTCTTTACAAAAATATTAAATGATAAATTACGTATTCATTCCAGTCACCATTAATCTATCAAGGCAATAACTGTCCCTGTAGAATAGCACCACAAGTTATTAATTAATACGTCAGGATGTATTACCAGTAAATTAACTAAGGACAATTAAAAAAACAAAAACATTAATAAATAACGTACAATAACCTCCCGATAAAGGTTAAGTGATTTTTATAGTAAAACTCTTCAGGTATCCAACAGGTATTCAACAACGTATAAATGATCATTAAATACAGTTAATCACTCTGTTGAAATGTAGATTCCCACTTGAGGATTCATAGTCAGTGATGAGGAGAGAAAACACACAATAGGTCGCCTGGTGCAGTAACTCTTTGTTCTCCCTATCCAGAAATAACTCTTGAATGAGCTGTTAAAAAACTTTTGCTCCTGAACAATGGAAACCTATTAATATCACACTAAGTTCGTACACATAGTTTTTATTTGGGGGGGCGGAGGGGTAATTCTTATTGCCTTTTTCTCCGTTATAATAGAGGGTGACCTGGATGCTAGAACAAACACACACAAACACAATATGAGTACACACACACACACACACACACACACACACACACATTATCCCCTTCCTACTCCACATATCAGGAAGCGCTCAACACACTGACCCTCTCGGCTCTCTCTGACCATCACCACGACCTCATCTGCAAATTTGGTGAGAAGCTTCTACACCATCCTCGACACCGGCTCCTATTTCCACCCGAGATCCCTCGTCCGAGAACTGCTGTTCGACACTACAACCACACCCAGCCCATACGAGCACGAACTGATCTCTATAAGAACAGCCCAGTCCCAACCATTGTAAAAATTATCAATAACTTGTAATCAACCAG